GCCTTCGCCAGACCCATTGCCCCTGCCACCTACTCCACCCCATCCAAAGCTCGACCGGCCCCCAGTGCATGCCCGCCCGCTGGCCGTACGCATGCCCTACCCTTACCACCCACGCACCCCGCCCCCCGCTCCTTCCCTTGCCCAAGCCCCCCACGCACCCCGCCATGCTTCTCATGGACCCATGGCTCCTCCCAGTGCATGCCCGACCCGCTTGCCCTACCCCACCACCCACGCACCCCGCCCCCGCCATCCGCCCTTCCCCCTCCGCATACATCCTTCCCTTGCCAAGCCCCCACGCACCCGCATGCTTCTCATGGACCCATGGCTCATGGTTCCATCCCAAGCTCGACCGGCCCCAGTGCATGGCGCCCGCTTGCCCTACCCCACCACCCACGCACCCCGCCCCCCGTCATCCGCCCTTCCCGCTCCGCATACTTCCCCCCTTGCCCAAGCCCCCCGCTTCGTTGCGCAGTGCCTCGCTGCCCTTGCTGTCTGCTTCGTTGCGCAGTGCCTTGCTGCCCTTGCTGCCTTCGCCAGACCCATTGCCCCTACCACCTACTCCACCCCATCCAAAGCTCGACCGGCCCCCAGTGCATGCCCGCCCGCTTGCCCTACCCCCACCACCCACGCACCCCGCCCCCCGCTCCTTCCCTTGCCCAAGCCCCCCACGCACCCCGCCATGCTTCTCATGGACCCATGGCTCCTCCCAGTGCATGCCCGCCCGCTTGCCCTACCCCCACCACCCGCACCCCGCCCCCCGCCCATCCGCCCTTCCCGCTCCGCATACTCCTTCCCTTGCCCAAGCCCCCCACGCGCCCCGCCATGCTTCTCATGGACCCATGCCTCCTGGTCCCTGGTCCCATTCTTCATCCCAAGCTCGACCGCGGCCCACCCACGCACCCCACCCCGCCATGCTTCTCATGGACCCATGGCTCCTGGTCCCATTCTTCATCCCTCCAACGGTGTGGGGGTGGGGGTTGGGGGTTGGGGTGGAGCAGGGGCCATATATAGGACCAGCATTGGCAGCCATGCAGGTCGTGGGGGTGGGGGTTGGGGTGGGGGTTGGGGGTGGGGGTGGGGGAGGGGCCGTTTCAGGAGGGATGGAGAATGGGACCAGGAGCCATGGGTCCATGATGCGGAGCGGGAAGGGCGGATGGACGGGGGGCGGATTGCGTGGGTGGTGGGGGTAGGGCAAGCGGGCGGCCATGCACTGAGCGCCGGTCGAGCTTGGGATGAAGAATGGGACCAGGAGCCATGGGTCCATGAGAAGCATGGCGGGGTGCGTGGGGGGCTTGGGCAAGGGAAGGAGTATGCTGGGGGTGGGGGGGTGGGGGGGGGGGGGTGGAGCATGGGGCCAGGGCCATGGGTCCATGACAAAGCATGGGGGTGGGCAGGGGCCATAAATAGGAGGGATGAAGAATGGGACCAGGAGCTGGGTCCATGAGAAGTATGGCGGGGCGCGTGGGGGGCGAAGGGCGGATGGACGGGGGCGGGGTGCGTGGGTGGTGGGGGCAGGGCAAGCGGGCGGCCATGCACTGGGGGCCGGTCGAGCTTGGGATGAAGAATGGGACCAGGAGCCATGGGTCGAAGCATGGCAGGGTGCGTGGGGGGCTTGGGCAAGGGAAGGAGTATGCGGAGCGGGAAGGGCGGATGGGCGGGGGGCGGGGTGCGTGGGTGGTGGGGGTAGGGCAAGCGGGCGGGCATGCACTGGGAGGAGCCATGGGTCCATGAGAAGCATGGCGGGGTGCGTGGGGGGCTTGGGCAAGGGAAGGAGGGGTGCGTGGGTGGTGGGGGTAGGGCAAGCGGGCGGGCGTGCGCTGGGGGCCGGTCGAGCTTTGGATGGGGTGGAGGTGGTGGTAGGGGCAATGGGTCTGGCGAAGGCAGGCACTGCACAACGAAGCAGACAGCAAGGGCAGCGAGGCACGGCGCAACGAAGCGGGGGGCTTGGGCAAGGGGGGAAGCATGCGGAGCGGGAAGGGCGGATGGACGGGGGGCGGGGTGCGTGAGTGGTGGGGGTAGGGCAAGCGGGCGGCCATGCACTGAAGAATGGGACCAGGAGCCATGGGTCCATGAGAAGCATGGCGGGGTGCGTGGGGGGCTTGGGCAAGGGAAGGAGTATGCGGAGCGGGAAGGGCGGATGGGCGGGGGGCGGGGTGCGTGGGTGCATGAGAAGCATGGCGGGGTGCGTGGGGGGCTTGGGCAAGGGAAGGAGCGGGGGGCGGGGTGCGTGGGTGGTAAGGGTAGGGCAAGCGTAGGGCAAGCGGGCGGGCATGCGCTGGGGGCCGGTCGAGCGGGAAGGGTAGAGGTGGTGGGGGTAGTGCTTGGGCCGTGGACCGTAATGAATGGGGAGCCATGGGGCCAGGAGCCATGGGTCATGAGGGGCATGGGTGCGTGAGGGGTAAGGGGTAGGGAGCTGGGTCCATGAGGAGCCACATCCATGGGCCGTGGACCATGAGCGAATGGGGCCAAGAGCCATGGGTTCAGTGGCAGGGTTGGGGGTGGCAGGGTGCGTTCGGTATGGGGGTGGGGGTTGGGGGTTGGGGTGGAGCAGGGGCCATATATAGGACCAGCATTGGCAGCCATACAGGTCGAGGGATGAAGACTGGGGCCAAGGAAGCATGGGCGGTGGGGCAGGGTGCGTGCGGGGTGGGGGTGGGGGGTGGGGGTGGAGCAGGGGCCATAAACAGGACTTCCAACCCCCCCCCCCCCCCCACGCACCCCGCCCTCCCCCTGGACCTGGCTCCTGACCTGCGTGGCTGCCAATGCTGGTCCTATGGCCCTGCTCCACCCCAACCCCCAACCCCCACCTGCCACCCCCAACCCCCAACCCCCACCCCCACCCACCCACACTTCCAGCCCCCACCCCCACCCCCCACGCGCCCCGCCCCCCACTGAACCCATGGCTCCTGGCCCCATTGGCTCATGGTCCACGGCCCATGGATGTGGCTTCTCAGCTGACTTTAAAGGGCCCCTGCATGCCCGGGCCCTCCGCCCGCTCCGCCCGCTCCGCCCCTCCACCCTCCGCCCTTCTAGCTCCGCCTACTCCCCTCTGGCCCATGCTCCCACTCTCCATCCCCTTGACCTACCCCTCATGGACCCAGCTCCCTACCCCTTACCCCTCACGCACCCAGGCCCCTCATGACCCATGGCTCCTGGCCCCATGGCTCCCCATTCCCCCCCCACCCCGCACGCACCCTGCCCCGCCGCCCACGCTTGTCATGGACCCATGGCTCCTGGCCCCGTGGCTCCACCCCCACCCCCCATGCACCCCGCCCCCCACTGGACCCATGGCTCCTGGCCCCCATTGGCCCATTGGCTCATGGTCCACGGCCCATGGATGTGGCTTCTCAGCTGACTTTAAAGGGCCCCAGTGCATGCCCGCCCCCTCCGCCCGCTGCCCGCTCCGCCCTCCGCCCTTCCAGCTCCGCCCTCCCCTTGCCCAAGCCCCCCACGCACCCCGCCATGCTTCTCATGGACCCATGGCTCCTGGTCCCATTCTTCATCCCCGCTTACGGCGGTTTAGGGGTTCGGGTTTGTGGTGTCGAGTTTGGGGTGTACGTTGAGGCCTCAGGTTCAAGTCTCCTGGTTACGGGGGTTTAGGGTTTGGGGGTTTGGGGTTTCAGGGTTGCGGGTTTCGGGTTTGCGGTTTGCGGTTTTAGATTTGGGGTTTAGCCCCAACTCCTTGCGCATCAGGGCTCCATGTTTCGCCCCCCTGAACTCTACAACCTGACCAAGCCCTGCGCATATATCTATATATATATATATACATAATCCGCGGCCGGAGCCCACAGTGCCTTGGCCCCCCTTGGAGGGGGTCGGCGGCACTGGCGGTAGCCATTAAATCGGGCAGCGCGAGGTTCCCAAAGGACCGAGCAAATGCGGACCTTTTAGCCCGGGTCGTCCCGGGAATAGCCTTGCTGGCCTCTGGCCTTCTGCGAAGCAGAATTAGGCCGGACGCCAGTGCCGCTGACCCCCGCGTGCCGCCGGTGAACGGTTTTTTTTTCGTGGTTTTTTGCGTCGCCACGGAGGCCCCCAGAGGGCGCGCATCATGAGCATCAGCGGGTCCAGCCCGGGACCCCCAGGCGCGCATCAGGAGCATCAGCGGCTCCCGGGGCGGGACCGCGGGGGGGCATCAGGAGCATGATGCCCCCCAAAGGGCGGGCATAAGCGACGTGTCTAAGCCCGGGGCTAGGAAAAAGGGAGTTTAGGGGCCTTATAAAGTGCTTAGAAACGTTAAGGGAGTCTCGGAGCCTCAAACGCTTAGAGATTTGAAGGGGGTTTAGGGGCCTGAAAATGCTTAGAAACTTAACGCTTAGAGATTTTAAGGGAGTTTAGGGGCCTCAACATGCTTAGAAACTGCTCGCCCCGGGCTTCTGCGTGCGCTGCCCGCCCATGGGCGCAGCCCCTTAAAATAATTATATACCGTATTATATCCCCTTTACGAATTGGGTGCATACGTCAGAACCAATGTAAAGGAGGTTAGGGACCATACTCAGGGCCCTTGAAGCAGAGGCCGGCAAAGACTGGGTTCTGAGTATTCATCTGAAAATTGATGAAGATACCGGTTCCCATGAAATACCCTATACCTCCCTTACAAACCCATGGGAACCCCTAATGGCTTCCCAAAAGGACCTGGACTGCAGATGAACCCCCCTATCGAAGTATGTCAAAGGCTCTCGGCAAGCGAAACCTCTGGGGCCGCAGCGAGACGGGGCATGCTCAGCGCTTTCGTTGAAACAGCTGCGCAGGAAAGGCCACTCCTTGCGGCAGCTTGAACTTCGCTTGAACTCAGAGGAAGCTGGAAATCTTACGAATCAAGGATTTCAAAAACATCCAATCGCAGCCTTTGAAGCTTCAAGACCGCTGCCAGGAACGCCGGCGTTGTCATGCCCGTGCTACACACTACTGCAAAATCGAAGATACAGAAGAAGTCACTCAGCTCCCGACGCTGCTGGCCAGACAGCGCAGAAGGTCATTGGACAGGCGATCCTCGGGTCAGTTCAAGCTTCGTTGTGCTTCGATGTGCCTCGTTGTGCTTCGTTGTGCTTCATCACATGCCCTCTTGGCGGAAGGACGCGATTCTTCTCGAGAAACCCATCCACCTTGTGCGCGCACATCGATGTGCCATCAGCATCCACGCCGCCACGCCCATGTTTGAGCGCAGGGCGGTGTAGGTCACCGGACCCGCAAAGTGCTTGACCTGCCAACTCTTCATGATCGACCCCCGGATCAGTCAACCCCTTCCAGGTAAGTTGTCTCCAAGCGGCAATGAAGGTCGAGTTTTGCAACTTCACAACGCCGAAGGCGTTGTGGTTCTGGTGCCTGCACATTGGCTGCGAATCCCACTGTACATGCAGATCAGCGGCATTTGGTCGTCTCCGAGGGACCGGAGGAGTTCCAAGGCCCTGTCGTCTGTATGAGCTTCCTGTGCCAGCTCCCGGAAGTGCCACCTATCACGAAGCACTCCTCGCAGGGCAACAGAGTCTAACATGGCATGTTCTGTATCTTCTGCCAGCAAACTTGCATCATGGAAATGCACATGTAGGCAGAGGCAGAAGAGCGCTGTTGTGCGGCTTTCGGGGCGGCACTCCGGCGAGGGTGCGCTCAAACGGATTCTTTCGTCCGGCTCTCCCGGACTGCTACGATGACTACCACGTCGAACCGCTGACTTTTCAAGAGTCCTCGTCCAACATGGGGAAGATCCCTGATGGGGACGACCTTGCGGTTCTTACGAGCAAAATTGGCTCGTGAAGGCCGAAGCCCAGGTCCCTTCACAGACAAGACGGTGGGCTCGGGCGACTGAGGTGGTTTAAGGCACCCGGCTGTAAAAGCCGCACGATGCCCGCGTTGTCTGGAAAGTCTTCATCCTGCCAAGGCCTTTGCGGAATCAGGGAGAGCTCAGAGGACAACGTGTGGGCATGAGATGGCATGAGCTGACATGAAGTGCTGCTGAGAAGTTCACACACCTTCCTCTCGATAAAGCGCAGTCTCATTCTCAAAAATGAAGTTGTTGAAATACTGCTGCAACAGCTCATTGGTGAAGTTGATGCAGAGCCTGATGGACAGGGCTGATGCCCAGGGCAAGAAGACCCCGCTTTTTCTACGCAAGCTTTGAGGTTCGTGCTGCTCGAAGGAGTTGATCTTGAAGAACTCGAAGCCGAAAATGTCCAGCCTTTGCAGATCTTTGCAAATATGCGAAGCTTCTTTTTGGACATCTGCTTCGCGAGGGCGGCTTTCTGAGGCTTCGGCACGCCGCAGAACGTGGCCTCTTCCTTAAAGCCGATGGAGGCGTTGGTCTTTTCGACGATGTGCTTGAAGAGCGCATGATAGAGATGCCTTCCGAGAGCATCTCTGCACTCGGCAGCCTGCCCGGGGCCCAAGACTTGTTAATTGCCGGTGCTCTCTTCGCATGCCTACCGTGCCTACCTATGCCATGCAATGAACTCCTATCATTCTCCAGATTCCATCCAGATTCCTATGCCTACATGCCCAGCAATGTCCAGTGCATCCCCGGGTAGGCCCACGCCCAACATGTTGCTGCACTTGCTCCGATGCGCCTGCTGCATGGTATTGGACATTCGAATGACCTGCTCACCAGGCGCCTGCATCGTCCGATTGCAGAGGACCTCCGCCAGCTGCGTCTGCGAAAGCCCAAGGAGCTCGGAGCTTTGCTCCAAGGGGTCCAGCTCATCATGCGACTTGACGACTTCGGAGGCTTCGCTGTTCCTTGGCATCGCTTCTAGATTGAGACTGAAAGCGACCCGCCTCTGAAGCCGGCAGGCTACATCATAACTGTGGGCTGCATCTTGTCTAACAGCCGAAGATGCCTACAACCCAGGATCAGCCGAAAATGTTCCTGCGCCTCTGACGACGAGCTTCTGTGCAGGAACTGCAAACTGAAGGTTTCCGACGTGCAGTACTGCGAGAACTGCTCGGATGACATCAGCAACTTCATGAGCATGAAACCCCATTGTCTGCATGGCAGCCATCGTTGCCTGGAAGTCCTCCGTGTCATCCAGAAGCTCAGAGCACTCTGAGTTGCCAAGGTTCTTGAAACAAGAGGGGCCCTCAATGTTCCCAAGGTGCTTTCTCACGATACCATCCAGCTCAGGTAGGCACTGTAGGGAGGCTGCCAGTATCTGGTAGAAGATATGAAAGCTCCTCTCCCCATGCTGATGGTCGATCACGCGCACCGTCTCCAAAAGGTACGTGCGAATTCGGGTTCCGATGAGCCGCTTCTTCAATGTGCGCCGCCCGTCTTCCACACCAAACTGCAGTTCGATGTACTTACCGAATCTGGATGAGTTGTGATTTCGGAGTGTCTGTGCATTTCCAAAGGCTTCCAGTAGCGGATTTGACCGGAGCACCTGACGCTCTACACGTGACAGCGGTTTCTCACCCTCAGAGACTACTGCCTCCGCCCCTGTCAAAGCCAAGAAATGCATGACAAACTTGGTGGTCTCTGTCTTGCCAGCGCCACTCTCACCGCTGACAAGGACTGTCTGAGACTCATCCTGATCGAGAATACCTGCATCAAAGAGCGCAAAGACAAAGCCTTTAAAACCTGAGCAGTCAGCACCCAACAGCTCCATAAACAACTGGCAAATATGCCGGACGGCCTGACAGCACACCGAACTAACTTTCGGGAGTGGGGGGTTCTATGTCCAAAGTCTTCAAGGACCCTCTGCCAGAACATTCTGCTCTCCTACAAGTCATCGCCGGATAGGAAACTCAACAGGACCTTGGATGGGTACCTGGGCCTCTTTGATCCCTTTGCCCTGCCTTGGTATGCCCGATTGGCAATGCTGAAGATGTGGGGCTGAAGCTTCTCGGCAGAGAAGAAACTGCGCAGCATCTCCGGCGAGTAGAGTCCAGGCATGTGTCGGAAAGGGTTAACTGCCAGAAGCACCGGCCCTGTCAACGTGTAAATGCGCCCATGCTGAAACCTGTCTGCGATTGCCTGTAACAGTGCAGCCTCGTGCAGCTCCGGCACGTTTGTCAAGTCATCGTACTGCAAGGCAGCGGTGTCGACGATTGTGGCATCCCTGCGAAGCAGGCGATTGTTGGCCCCAGTGTGTGGAACCTCGACTTCTTCGTCAGATTCGGAAGGGTCGGTCTTCGCGACCTTCACCACAACGTGGGAGCTCGAGCTCTCGGTAACCTCGCCCGGTGTCCATACTTGGGAAGGATCTGACACCCAAACAAGCGCTCCGGTCTCAAGACCGCGGCCGCCGGACTCCTCCTCCACTGGTTTCAGCTTCTTGGACCCATTCCACCCATTTGCAGAAGGACCCGTGCCGTTCGACACGCTTTGAGCCGCTTTGGGCTCAGGCCCTTTCTGACGCGGCAATGGCGGAACCGGACGCAGCATGTCCCAAGCAGCTTCAGCTTTAAAGATGAAGCAAGGATGGACGGAAATTGGCCTCCGGTCCTACTGGCCCTCGCGCCATGGCAGGGAGGCGTGACATGGCACCTACGTCATGACCCCCTGAATCCGATGTGTCCCGTGTCCAACCCGTGCTTGCATCGAGAGTGAGGGGCTCGACGGGGGGAAGGTCAAGCTAAGTCGATCACGGCGGGCGCTCGGACCCTCTGAATTTCATTGAGTTGCATGACAATGTTCTGTGCATGAGTGATCTGCGCTAGGGAACTGCTAATACCCTCCCGAGCAGCACGCTTCTAGGGGGGCTACAGCTTGAGCAGAAGTTTTCGGCGGCATTCGCCTAGGAGCCAGAAGCAGGTCGCGCACTTCAACTTCAACCCCCCCACAAGTACCAAAGGGGTTCAAAGGGTCTAGATCTAGCAGGGACCAGTACCCAGAGCCACTGCTGCATTTTTAGCACGAGAGGCGGTTCGGATAGCCCAAGCTGCAGCTTCATTCGACCCCACGGGGGCACGAATTCGGCAAGCAACTGTTAGATGTACTGCCTCTCAAGTACAGGCGTGGTCACATGATGTCACATGGCCATGCATTCCCCTAATTAGGAATGGTCGATTGCAAATGGAGCTGCCGGCTGTCTTGAACCTTTACATCACTTTGCTTCCCGGGATGGACAAATCGCTCTCATATCAGCCGATTGCGCATGTCCTGGCCACAGGGACCCCCAAGCGCAAGTGCGCAGTCTGAAAGTTGGCAGCATGCAAGAGGCTCACAAATCAACCAAAAAGGTGGGCCTGCCTCCAGCTTCTTGATAATTTCTGCTGGTGTACGGTCCAGCTCACTTGCAATCAGCCTTTGCCTTGGATTCGACGTTCAACTTGAAGGTGCCTCCCGACAGCCCCTTGACCCTGAGGAGGAGGCTTCTCAGCAGTGAGGGTCATGAACTGCTCACAAAGGTCGCCATCAACACCTAGGAGGACATCTTCTTCTATCTGCAAGCATCTGTGGGCTTTTGGAGAGTGGCAGGCCACCTTAGGCTGCGACAGCTCTGCACCGGAAAATGGTACGAGCGGTACCTTGCGGAGCGCAAGGCATAGGGAGCTCCAGCACAAAGCCTGAAACTGACTGCGAGGAGGCACATGATGTGGTCTCTGCCACACAGCGGAGGCTTTTCGGCCCGCACAAACATCTCCAGGTGTTGGAAGAAGTCCAACTGGCCAATTCTTTGCTCGTATAAACATGTACTCTGTCCAGCAACTGCGGAAGCCGCCTTGCCTCATCCTTTCCTGCAAAGGGGTAGAAGGCTCCGATGGCACCTCCAGCAACTCCAACTCACTTGCTAGACTACAGATCAGAGTGGTGCTTGAACTAAGCACAGCTGCTTGTACTAGCGAGCTGCGGTGCCTAGGAGTGTAGAGTAGCAGATCAGCTCGCTTCCACCCTGTGCCAACGTCGTCTTCTCCAGCGCCGTCACAGTGTCACCTGAGCCGAGAAGCATCGTGCTCTAACCGCTGAGACTAAGAGGATCTAAGAAGCGAAGATATTGAGGCTTCCACCAACATGGAATTGCACAATGCTGTCCAACTTCGGCGTGGCGCCGGTGAGGTAGGCAGTGTCGGCCTTCGGGATCCAAAGACGCTCACTGATAATGCCCACTCACACGGTGTCGACTCACTGACGCCCAGGGAACTCCCAACCTTCAACCGCAGGCCAGTGTGGTCACCGCCTCATCTGCTTGTGCGTGAGCAGCTTGGCTGAAAGAACGGCATGGTTACGTTCAAGCGTGAAATGCTGGCGTATACACATTCCGGGTCTCGTCTACGAGTGGTTGACGGGCTCTCCAAATCTGGAACGACTCTTGGCTCCGAACCTTCGTCGTCACGGGCCTGAGGTTTCAGAAGACAGGCACAGTGCTCTTCGGCTTTAGACCCGCAGGTCCTCATCTGGTATTCTGCTGATGAAGAAGTTGTCGAACTTGTCAGCACCTGCACCACACCGTCTACGACTTGTGGGGGCAGATTGATGACTGCAGAAGTAAGTTGAGGCCAGCATGAAGCCTGCCATGGTCATGCTGTCCAAGACAGTTGCGCACGTCCTGAAGACGCGGCATGTTTTGAGCACCTGGTGGGGGCCTTGTCATTGCGAGATTCTCGAGCCTCCCGAGGTGCTGAGGCTCCCACGTCCATCTCGGAGCCTGGTCATCCGAGAGAACGAAGAGCTGATTGTCCGAGCGGCGGTACCTACCACGCCATTGATGACATTCAGGGATCATTGGTGGCAAGGGAACTACCTGGTACTGAAACACCACTACGTCACTATCAGCACCTGCTCCACTGGTGATACACTTAACGACCCGAGTCCGGAGGTCATCATACGAAAACCGCTGTAGACACCCACCCAACAACCCCACGGCACTTGAAGATGTGAAATGACTCTCGCAAGTCTGCTGTGAAGATCTTGTCCCCCTTCACATGCCTTGCCAATGGAGAAGCAAAAACATGTCAGCAGCCATCTGATCGCGCAAACTAGGCCCCGATCATCCACATGAGACCCTCGGGGATGTTCTTGTACTCGCACTTGCGCAGCCTTCAGCACAGTCGACGTCAAGCGAGGAACTCAACGATGGATGGCACGGAATGCTACAGGATGGTGCAGAGTGGGATGGGCCGAGTAAGGGAAGGGCAGCTTGCGCTTCCCGAGCTCGTAGATGCGGAGGCACCTCCCGACGCTGGCCAGCAGCCGACCTTGCGATCTCGGTTTTTTTTGGGAGAGGGGGCCCCCCTCTTCCGGGAGCACTTCGGTAGGGTTTCTTTGTGAAGTCTCACGTTCCGGGCTCTCGACCTTCGAAGGGGAAGAGGCACAGTGGCACGTCCTCACTGTCCCACGGCTCCACACTGCTGCATGACTTCTGGCAATATGCATGGACCCCGTCAAGGCCCCTGAGCAATGGACATCCAACGGCGTGGAGTGAATGAGCTGCAGATGATAGCGCCTCGAAGCATCTTGAAACACGAAACTCTCATTTTATACATATGTTTTTCTTGCATGTTTTGGTGTCCTCTCCCAGACTCCTCTGGAGAAACTGAAACTCTGGGCACTACTCCGGGCTGCCCCCGCTCATCGTACATGTAGGTCTTGATCGTCGCTTTGGGGGCGTGTCTCGGGTACAACCTGGGCAGCTTCTCTTGGGCTCGAAGGTCTAAGGTCTCGCAAAAGGTCTTGCAGTAACACACGGCAGTGGAACGTCATGTTGTAGACCGTACCGACAACGAGGCAAGGCCTGAGCTGGCAAGAACTGCATGGTGCACAAACGATGAACCAGCATCTTCTTGAAGCAGCTGGGACGCAGGCTGGTTTGCAAGCTGAGAAAAGTAGCACACGGTCAGGCATAATGCAGCCTGAGGGTATGCATACACACGAAGTCAGGCGGCAGCTCGGTCAAAATGAGTAACTCAACAGCCTCGTCGATATCCAGATCGAGCTTGAAGACTGGCAGCAGGTTCGACGGATTCACCTCGGGCGGACTGCCTGAAGCCTGACGTTGACCTCACTACTAACGACTTATCTAAGACTTCCTCGTTCTTCGACGGGTCCCCGGGCGATTCGCACGCAGGATCCCCACTTGCCCTCACCCGCTTTGAAGGTACCGACCTGTTCATCTATGTGGTCTTGCGCAAGTGATTCGAAAATAGGCTTCGGATGGCCTACTTCGGCTCTGTGGGCCGCTTACTGCCGCTTCTTCCCCGGCGCCTGCGCTTCCGGGAGGTCCTCCTCGTCGTCCTCGTCCTTTACATCATCGAGCTCGTCATCTACTGTCTTGGTCAGGCCTCGACACATGCACACCCTTGATGCCACATGACGCAAAGGACCAAACTCAGCTATCATGTCTTAGGGATGTGCGAATCTTCTTCAGCGCTGCTCTGATTTCACGCTTCGTCTCCTGCCCCAGAACACAAGCACAGGCAACAGCGTCACAGGCTTCACCATCTGCACGAACCTCGTTGTACGCATTATGGTCTGCTTCCAGGATTGCCAACCTCAAGAAAGGCGTCAATCGCTTTTTGTGTAAGTCGTTGGCGCCATGACTGTATAAGCACGAAGCACATGTCCAGCTGGGCTCCGGTCATGATGGGGTCGGTGGTTGGCTGGCCAGGCGGTGGCAGCACTGCGGGAGGAAGTGGCACAAAGCGTCGAGGCGTGTAGGACAAGTTCATCACCTGAGCAGACGTCTGACAAAGTCTGCCTAAGGACCACCCTGTGCTGCACGATGACAACTCAGCACAGTGCCGTCTGGTTGAAGAGCTCTCCCAATCTCTCGCATGCCAGAATACCTGAATGAGACACCTCCTTTGCAATCCCTGCAAACCGGGCTTGTGTACCACCGAGCTCGTCACGCAAGGTGTTGCCAGAGATCGCAACAAAGCCTGCCCAGCAGAACACACACAACACAAGCAGAGTGACGTCATCCTTGCTGTCGAGGCCTTCTGGGCACTGTTCCGATGCGAATGAGGAAGCAAACTCCAACTGTTCGTAGCTCATGGGCGTGCCTCGAAAGTAACCGGGGTGCGGCATCCCATGAAATACTGGCAAGATGCTAAGCCACGGGCAGTGATTCTTGCCCTGGAAGTTGTAAGAAAGCCATGGCTTCGTGCTCAAAGCAAGCATTGCTGGCCTCAAAGTGCTCAGCCTTCATGCAATCCGTTCCGAAAGCTCTAAACTCTAAAAAGCCAAGGTCCCTGCATTCCCTGGACCGAAACCTCAGCATGGAAGAATGTGAAGATCTTCAGCGAAGAGCTGACCACGCAGTGAACCCTGGACCCGGCCTTGTGAAGCCGTACTGCTTTGGCCCCCAGGAATCGGGAGCGCTGGTCACTGAGCGTGCCGGTGACCTCTAGTGACAGTGTAAGTGGGAGACATCTGACTCGGTCTGACCACTTTGCGTGGAGAGCCTGAGGACCTGGCAAAGTCGACCACGGAGCGAATCAAGATGCCGCTGCCTCGGAGTGCGCAACTACAGGTAAAAGCCTGCAGAGGTGGAAGATGTTCTGTCCTTTGCGCGCGGCCCCGGAAGTAAGCCCGCGGCTGAGACCAATGCTCAGGAACAGGCTATGAACGTCCTGAAGAGCAGCCAATGAGAACATGGCAAGCATGCGAGGAACGTTGACAGAGCGGTCGAAGCCTCGGCTTGTCCCAGGTTCTTCATCTCCAAGAGGCACACGCTTTCGGCAGGTGATTGCAGGGCCTCGGTTCTCAAAAGGCACTGAAGAGCCGAACAGCTTGGAGGGGGGGTGCGCTCTTCCTGTTTTGGGGCCCTGGCTTGGGCGCTGAGCTGCTTCAGCGGCCTCTCACGCTCCAGCGACAGGATACGGATGGTGTTGTCCACGCCTCTCCGGAGGAGTGTCGTTACATCATTGAGAGAGTCCAAAAAAACAACAGTCTGTCGATTAAAACCTTCCATATACTTTTCGCACCGCGAAGGGGTTGATTGCGACTGAACTGCGGCAGGGCCCGCAATGTCTCGAGCTTCGGCTGATCTTCAGCCGTCCACATTAGGCACCCGTACCGTGCATTAACCTTTGGTCTCCGAACTCCAGCTGTTCTGGATGTCGGATCAAATTATGCCCGTCCTCTGGAGGCGAACAGCCCGAGCTTTTCGCGGAGATTAAACATAGCCTTATTCTCACCCACGTTCGGGAGGTGAATGTCCTGAGCAACTGAAGACGTGTGTCGGATGCTGTGAAGCTCTTTTTTCGAGCACGAACGGACGGATGCAAGGCATCAGGAGGCCCGGGAGGCTGCAGGAGGCTGCAGCACAGGCCCCTATGATCTAGCAGAATCCAGCCAACTTTTGAATGCCAAAGGCACTGCCCTGCCTGGAAATTGCTGAAAATTGCTTGGCATTGCTTAGCATTGCTCCTAGCGCAGCCGGGAGTCGCTCGACACAAACCCGCTTGCGTCCGACTCCTGGCCGAGCCGAGCCCCCTGGCCACACCTAAGACAGTGATGTGCAATGGTTTAACCATTCCTATGACAAAGAGATGCATCACGTTGTCTACTACGAATGCATCTGATGTCTGGTTCTGCTTCTTTTGACATGGGGCCGCCAGGGATGAAGAACACGAAAGTTGCGGCCTGCAGAGCGCCTGACGATGCCTCAGCGCCAAGCAGGCAAGCAGCACGCCAGCAGCAGCAAGGGACATGCAACACGCAGTGCACAGAGTCACAGTGTCACATTAACCACAGCCAGGCCTTTGCTGAAACCACTGCGACGAGCCAACTCCTGCGAACTCTGCATTTCCTGTAGCAAGGGCACTGAAGACCCCCCCCCCGCCTCCGAGTCGGCATGGTGCGGGAGGCGGGGAACCACCACCAACGTCATTTGATCACCATCACCGGCGCCAATGTCCTGGACACCACACACCAATGTTTTCCTAAACAAAAAAGGCTTGACTCAGCTCGACTGACAGGTTGGCCATTGACAAAAACAATGGTCCTGCAGCGTCGCTCCTGCTCTGCAGAGGTGCTTGTCATGGACCCTCAGAGCGCCGAGCGCCGATCGCCGGCTCGCCACTTTCGTGAAGATTTGTGAGAGAGAAGTTTGCATCCAACGAAGCTCAAAGTGCGTTCAACGAAGTTCCAAAAGTGCATTCAAAGACACAGCCTCTGCAAAGAGGGCGGGACGCCCGTGATCGCCTCGATCATCCCCTTCAGCGAGGCCTTTGCCCGAACCCTCCTGCGCCTTAGAGCCGACAGAGGGGGAAAATAAGGATGAGGGGGGGCACATGAATCAGATTGCTACAAAAGCCCCCATTGAGAGGGGAAATTGTGGCGCAAAAGCATTGTGGTTTTAGCCAAATAAACCGCACAAAAACGGAAGGAAGGAATCGGACAGAACCACCCCACTGAAAATTTGCGCAACATCTTGACAATTTGTGCCCCGTCACCCGGGTCGCCCTGGGCCGGGGCGAGTGGCACTCTCGGGGAGCAGCCGCTGCAGCGCCAGGTTGGCGCGGCTGGCTGGAGCCCGAGTTCGTGAAAAAACAGAGGCCCTTGGGGACCTTACTTGCGCCTATGGCGTCTCCGATGTCTCCAAGAAGTCTACCACAAGATGTGAAGTTTTCAACAACTCAATGCAGCTTTAAGGACTCTTCACCATCAACTGCTGGCTCCGGATCGATGGGTAGATCGGGAGGCACGTTCAGCGAAAGAGTTTCGCCAGTTCCCACCCATAGCACATGAATGCCTGTCGGAAAGCTTGGCATTCACTTCTCTTACTACTTGACCCATGCTCGCGTGAACAAAGAGAGAGCGAAAGCAGAGCAAAAGTAGCCTGTGAACTCTTGAACGCAACTTTTTTATAGACCCTGAACCACGTGCTCTGCTTAGGAAACCACGCTCTCCGCGCTTTGTACTTCCTAATGGGTCTGTGGTTTGTGGTTGACCTGGCAATTCTTGGAAGACGCAGTAAAAGGTGGTACCCTGCTCTTCTTTACTGGCAATTAAGGGGTCTGCGCACATGCTACAAATCACAAAACTACATGCAAGAACTACCAACACCCATAGAACGCTATGAGCTAAACAACGCATGATGTCATGAGGCCTCTTCATTAATTTCATTGCGCACGTCACAAAGAATTCTATGCCCGCACCATTCGAAAGCTACAAAGATGATTCATGGGCGGCCAAGAATAATATGAAAAGGCTTCCTAAATCAACAAAGAATAAAGCTCGTGCTCCTTAGCTTGTAAACCTGCATTCGAACCCATCTCAAATCACATTCCAACACCGAGCGGCCGATGAGTCGTGGCTTTGGCACAGGTCTGCGTGCGCTATCTGCGTTCATGCTCAGCAGCTCTGCGGACGTTTGATGAAAACCAGCCTGCTTCGTTTCCATGTCCTGGATAAGCTTGGATATGGCATCATCCGAAACTTTCCAGGTCTTTGATATGCCCACTGAAGCCTGGTCAGGCTCCACGTGGTCCGCGGCCTCATCCGTCCGATCTGCCCCGACATGGGAGGCAGACTCCTCCCCCAGCGACTCCTCATCAAGTTCAACGAGCTGTGTCTGAACGGCCAACGTCTTTGGGACCATGCTGGACCTTCGAATCTCAGACTGCTGCTGTTTGATGAGCTCGGAGATTTTCTCGTCCGGCACATGCCACCATTTAGGATCTGAGCCACCTATGGCCAAGTCTTGATAGTCCCAGCCATCTGTCTCCAGGAACCGGTCTTCCCATGGAGCTGCAAAACCCGCTCCAACTGGCTGCGGTGCTATGCCCTGAAACTGAGGCAATGCGCCGCTTGGAGGGGCGCGCTCGCCGCGTGCGCGGATCGGCATCGACAGAAAACCCACTTGCTTAAGGAGGCTACGGCTACCTCACGCGGGCTTGGCTTGCGTCTGCTTGCTTCTGGAGGGTCTTCTTCTTTGTATAAAGGCGAAGAGAAGCACGTGCTGCTGCTGGTGTCAGTGTCAATGTCACTTAGAGGCTTCGCTGCCATGATCGCTTCAATCTGAGCCACGTCATCTTCACAAACTGAAAGCGCCACCTATGCCAAAAGCTCACCCATGCAAAGACAACAGCGCTGCACCTCCCACGGCCATGAAGGAAGCACGCTGTCGATTGTCTGGAACCGGCTGCACCTTGCAGGAACGTGTCTTACAAGCGCATGCTGCCCACATGGGAAGAAAACACGAACACTTGGTGCCCTGCAGCAATGCACAACACCTCATAGTTCATGTCACGCTTGGCCACCTTCACAGTTGGCACAACAATGCTCTTGGGGAGCTTACTTCCGATGAGCCGCAGCCCTGTGCAACGGTGACTGTGTACTGAGAGCCCAGGAGGTCATGGCCACCTCGTTGAGCGTGTGGCTCTCATCAATCTCGAAGTAGAGAATCTCTCCGCCCGACAGAGCAATGACCACCTCTTCGATACTGCTCTGCTCAGGGCCAAATTTCCGCCCACATTGCTGCCACAGTGAAAGCACAACAAGAATACACCGATGCGCCGTGATGTATGCCAGACATGTCGAGCCTGTCGTTCATTCGCAGCTGCTGTTACGATGCGCTTCTGCCCTGGCACCCTCCACCTTGTGACAAATCAAAGTGATGAGATGAGCCGAGTCCTCATCAGCCCTCTTGCTTAGCGCTGACTAGTGCAACAACCGGAGCAATGCTGGGAGTGTGGCTCGTTTGTTCTTCTTGGCAGCAAATGGCGAATGCCTGTCGGGTGGACCTGCACACATAGTACAACATTTGGTAGGTGGAGAAAAAGAGAGCGAGAGCAAGAGCGAGAACGAGAGCGAAAGCGAGAGAGAGAGAGAGAGATTTATAGATAAGTACCTGCACGTAAGAATCATCTGCCATCAACTGGATGAGCAACGAAGGAGCCGTAGCCAGGAATCCACTGTCCAAAACCTGCACCAAGGCACGCTCGATATGCGAGAGGCTAACCAAGGCAATAATGTTCAGTAAGCACATGCATTGTGTGCAATGCAAACAGTCTTTGACAGTTGTCCCTAAGCCTCCTCGACTGTGTCGCCAATTGACAGCACGAGAGTGACGTCTACGAAGGACACCACGATGTAGCGGTCGTACTCGCTGTCCATGGTGGCCTCAAAAACATGGGACACATCCTTTCGCCTGCAGTGCCTAGTCGAAGCATTGCCTGGCGACCTCCTGAAAGCTTATCTAGAAAGCTAACCCCAAAGACCTACAGCTTGTGCAAAACAGTTGTAGACAGTGGCGTGTTCTCGTGCCCCGTACCTTCACGGTCCAAACAGCATTCGGCTTTCCCGGCAGCTCACTGACGGCCATCTCCGTCACCGCCAAGCCATGGCGCAGCACTCTCAGGGAGGCTCGTGGACCACGGCCGCACATGGCATAGAGCTGTGGCTTGCCCTCACCGGTGGCATCGAGAACCTTCATATCGATGATCGGAGACAGAGATGGCATCTCGTCATAAAGCATCAGATTCTTGAGTGCTCGAGGCTTGAAGGCCACTAGGGCCTGTGCTCCGTGGGGATGGGAAGATGTGCACATGGGATCTTCTTCGTCTGTGCCAATGCCCTGGAACTGGTACAGCGCGTGGTTGCCAAACTCCGCCGCAGTGAACAGGAATCCAGTCTTCAGCACGCAGAGTGCATTCGACAGGGGCACGGTGTCGAAGTACTTGACCTGAACCTCGGAGACAAGATCCTCATCATGTGTCAAAGTCACCTTGTACAGGTCTCCGTACTCACTCTGGATGAGGAAAAAGAAGAAGTCCTTCAGCTTGTGCGTCGCATGCGCTACAATAAGCAGGCCTTTCTCCTGGGCCATTTCCAACCGCCTTGGGATCGCGCAAACCACATCAGGATGCCCCTGCTTCTTGTACACGAGGCAGTTCTCACAACAGACCAGCACGCCGCTCGGCCCGTCCACACCTCCGGGGACCGCAATCAGCGCATGGGCACTGTGGTCCACTGCATCCGCAAACTTCCGCGTGACGTGGTTCAGGCCCAAATCCATCTCATAGAGCGTCAGCATCTTCTGGGGCGGTTCAGCCTGAGGATCCTTGTCCACCTGGCCATCTCTCCAACTGCTACGAACAGGCAACGTCACATGCGCCAACACACGCGCTCCGGCCTCTTCGTAGCTGAGCTCGATGCTTGCAAAAAGCGGATTCTCGAATCCCACATCCATGCCAACCATGGCATAGACGAGGGTGTAACCTAGACATAAGCTCAGGTTAGGCAAAAGCCGTCGGCGGGGCAATATGCATCTCTGATCATCTCAGCCTGGCGCTCTTGTGTGCCTCAAGCGGAGACGAAATCGTCAATCTCGCTGCGGAATCCCTGTTCAGAATGTACACCTGACCATTGAGCAAATCATCTTGCGGGCCACGCACGTGCCCGGGCTTCACACGTCACATGCATTGCAGCAAGCAGCACTGCCAAGCTAAGAGGCAGGCAAACTTCTGCTTCTCAATCGCACCGATCATGACGGCTCCTGGCGCACCCAAGGCTGACAGGGCCGAAAGCCAAAACACAACGATTCCATTCTGAGGGCATGGCGACCCTTGGGGTCAACTGCGAGATACTGACCCGGCCTTATCAAATTTATGAGCGGGCCAGAAAAGGCCAAGCCGCACTGGAGTACCAGTTTTTTGAGGCCCTGGCACGATTCTTCGGCAGCCGGTCTTGCCGAAGGTCTCTTGGTGGACCTTCTCGAACCTGAAACTGATAGATTCTGCTTGGGTTCGGTTCACCACATCCGCAGAGGTCACGACATATTCTTCGTACCGTCGTATTCCAGAATAACTATTCTGCCCGAGTCCGAAGCGACAACCTGCACCATGCATCAGCTAACAGATGAAACTCAAGAGGGAATCAAGCATGCCGGCCAGGCTATGTAGTCACGGCTCGCGCCGGTTAATCTGAACGGATGCAAGGCGCGGATGACACCGAAAATCTCCTGAGAGAGACATCACAAACCATTTCGACAGGTGCTGCCTCACGAGGCCACTTGTTTCAGCTTCATACACGGAGCAGCACTCGGTGTCGCTCCACGGACAAGATGCTCTGAACTTTCCCGGAATCGTCGGGCCTGCTGTTGCCAATGTCTCATTCCAAAAAATACGTAACTCACATGCGGCTTCTGATCGTCCTAACGACTGCCTCAAGAGCTCCAGTGTCTTGTAGCGGGAGCATACGATCTCCTGGAAAGGCATGATAAGCTTCATCATTCCAAACCGTGAACAACAGCATCTCAAATCTTCTCATGTGGCGTTCCAACTCTTACTAGTCTGGCGCTCCTGCGCCTTCGGGGCTGAGAAGTTTCCATAGATGGCATGCGTGATCTGACGAGCAAAGGCTATTATCAGGCCAACACACGCGAATTTCTGCGAATTTCAACGGGCGCAACAACCCCCTTTGCCCGTTCACCAAGCGGAAACGGCAGTGTCACAAAGTACCAGCTGATCTCGAAGCGATGCACAAAACCAACTGCGGACAGCATGCTGCAGAAGATCTCTGCAGCGTTAGCTGGTAAAGCTTCGGCCTTGGTCCAACGTACGATGTCCATTTCATATGTCGACATTGTGTGCATTTCGCAACACTCAGACACTCGGGCAGGCACATGCCCACTTACGAGGAGCGAATCAAAAATGCCTGGGAAGCACATGTAACTATCTGTCACCATCACGATCAACCATCATCCGCACCCAAACACTATGGCTCGGGCATCTGTGTCACCGGGTCCGCCACCTCCTACCTACAGCTTCAAAACGGAACCAAATGGCAGCGCGCAGTGACATGCCAGAAGCCCACGCCACCATGCCGAAGCCGTTGGCGAAACATGTTCACAAAACTTGTTTTGGCATCATCCGCAGCTCTATCTACAATGGCCCACGACCCCGAAAATCCACAAGCTCGCCAAAAGGGACAAGAACAGGCCTCTTACCTTGCTGAGTGCAGGTGCAGGCTTGTCTGATGACAAAACACCGCCTTCATTGATGTCGACATAAACACAGAACCGCCAAAAAGAGACACGCAAGGAAACACGCTTGGGGCAGATGCGTTCGCAATTCTGCGAACTCAAGGCATTGATGACATACGTGGCATCTTTCGTTGAGCACCAGCAGATAAACCAACACTAGCTTGCGTCAACTTTGTTGCTTGTCTGCAATACGAGAGGTGAAAGTGAAAGTGCGCGTGCCATGTCGATGGCTGAAAGGGCTCTCAACTGTTCTTTTTTCAACTGCAGACGAAGTATCTGTCTCGCGAGGTACCTGGCATCCTGCCAAGGTTGCGGAATGGCATACCACTTGAACTCTTGATTCTGCAGCAATGACTCAACATCTCGTTCAACCTAGTAATTCTCTCTTTAATCAAAATGTGACTTGCTCAACAAGTCATTCACCACCTAATTCACTCATCATTCTATTTGGCGAATATGTAGAAGTGCAACTTCCAGCAATTCATTTTTGAAGACAAATTGGCTCCATGTAAGTTAGACATGACAAAGAAACATTCCAACAAATTCATGGCGAGAAGATGAAGAATAACTCTTGTGATCTACCAGTTCGTTTAAGTCATCCTACAACTCACTTCACTTCAAGGTCATGAACATGGTTGGGGACCGAACGTGCACACATGTGGTGCCACTTTGTACATTTTCTTCGTCGGCGTCACAGCTCCAGGATTTACAAATTGGTGGCCCTTGCATTGAGTTTTTATACGGCTTGCCAAAGGCTGCACTGACAACTAGATTCCATAGTGTTTTTTGCATGCATTTCGTCAATGAGTTATTTTCGTTTTGAATTTGTTTTTGCCTTGTGTGAGCGGCAAAAAACATGCTGCTTGCCGCGGTGCACTGTGTCTATTGCACACACTTGTTTTTACGGCCGTCTTGCTCATGCTGGTGCTTTTTTGTGAGCTGTTCGCCGGCGTTTTCGACTGTCAGTCGTTTGCGCGTAGAAAATACTCGCTTAACAATAATCCCTACACTTGAATTCTGACAATGATCTTTTGCGTTTGCCGTGAGGATTCTTGATGTTGGTGTTTTCGTGGGCTGCTTGCCCATGTTTTCGACTGTCATTCGCTTGCACGTAGAATATATTCGCAGAAAACTGGTTTCGACTACTCAGATTTGGTCATTGGGCTCGTTTTTTCTGTGGGGGGGAAGGGGAGGGCTTTTGATATTACTACATTTTGTGCAATTTTTAATAAATTATTACTTATTATATTCTTAACAGATGGAATTAAATATAATCTTAATGCTTCAATAATAATATTTTTTCTTAATAAACTCCATTCTTTTTTAGATGATCTACTTATATATAATGTTTGTAATTTTTTTGGTCATGATTTGGGACAAATATACTTAGGTCATGATTTGGGACAAATATACTTTGGTCATGATCTGGGACAAATATACTTTGGTCATGATTTGGGACAAATATATTTTGGTCATGATCTGGGACAAATATAGTTTGGTCATGATCTGGGACAAATATACTTTGATTATGATTTGGGACAAATATACTTTGGTCATGATTTGGGACAAATATACTTTGGTCATGATTTGGGACAAATATACTTTGGTCATGATTTGGGACAAATATACTTTGGTCATGATGGTTGGACGCAGACTTGCACTTGGACTTGCACTTGGTCGTGGCGGGGGGGCGGAGGGAGGCGGAGGGGGGCGGCGGATTGGACTTGGACTTGGTCATTGGTTATTGGTTCTTCCGTACATCTTCGTTCTGAAACTTGCTCTTGCTTGTTTTGTTGCGGTTATGGTTGATGAACTTCAACCACAAACCCGATCCTAAAGTAAACGTTGGGTTCTGCCCTCACAGGAGCCTGAAGCAAGAATCCAATCCAAAGGTACACATTACGTTTTGCCTTCCCAAATGCTGGAACCAAAAAAATCCAAAGCAAAGGCGATGTTCTGTCCGCCCACAAGCCTCAACGCAAAAACCTGAACCAAAAGAAAATGCTAAGTTTTGTGTTTACAAAAGCCTAAACCAAAAGGCCAAACCAACGGCAAGCTGTACATTCTGTCTTCGCAAACCACCAGGCCACCAGGCCAACACTCGATCCGGAAGCAGCACCTACACGTCAGCCTGTCTACAAGCTTGCGCAATCGGCGTGGATCCCGGTCTAGAAGATGAAGCCCTCCAAAATCGTCATCTCAGCCCTTTCGATATCAAGCTTCACGGAGTTGATAATTCTGTGCTGTTTCAGTATGGCCTTGATTGACACAACTTCACGAAGGATCCAGTTTCGTCCGTTTGTCTACCGCAGACTATGTCGAGCATGTCATTGCGAAAGAAGAACTTCACATGGCCAGCCCCCAACTTGACAGCTCGACGGGGATTGACTGGGATGGAGGGTAAGGCTCATAGGTATCATAGGCATACACAAAGGAAGCACCGAGACCCAAAGGCAAAAAGGCAAAAAGGCAAAAGAAGCCGATGCGCGCTCCAACATCCAACCAGCAGAGCCCTTGTGCTGGGGCAACGTGCTTGCAAGTTCTGCGGACCAAGGCCAAGACTTCATCAGCAATCGGTGCATCTCCGAGCTTCATGGCCATCTTGAAGGAACCGTCAACGCAACACTTCGTCTTGATTCGGACGACAGGCTTCGAAGCAGCGGGTGGTATCTTCTTGCGCTGCATGTAGAATGTAATTTCTATAGTGCGTCTTCTAAAGAGCCCGGCTTTCGTTTGACCGCAGCTGCACCATGAATACTAACATGAATGTCAATAAGTATTCAGTTTCACGACGTTGCGCAGGGCTTGCTAAAACACCTGGACAGATTCATCTCCGGCCAGGAATCTAATGCCACAATAGGTAGGGTGCGATGTCTTCTTGGCAATTCAACTACGAAACAAGGATGTGGTGGGACATTCTTAACTGTAAGGGATGGTCTCTGAGGTATGGTTTCCAGAAAAGTCATTGAACCACCAAACTGCTTCAAGGAAGCGGACCTGAAAAAACTTATCTCCAAGAAAGACTCTAGTGGCATCACTCTTGTAACCAAGACTGACCTACTGCGCCGCTGACGCGGTAAGGAAGCGTTTACGCCCAAAAGAAGGGAAAGAATCTAGTGGCAGCGCGTGTTCAAAATATTGCACCTCAGCAAAGGAACAGATGGTGTTGCCGCTTAGAGACACAGGATTTCTGGAAGCCACGGAAACTCAGAGTT